TCCAAACTTGAATAAAGGTTTGAACTGCTGCTGTTTCGGTTTAGAATGGTTCGCATGGGTTCACCATTTATTGCCATAAAGTGAATGTTAACAATACACGAGTTCTAACAGTTAAAAACAAAAAAATTATCTCACAACATCTGTTGCTTTGAAACTACCACACACCGCCACTTTAAAATCGTTATGGTGCACAATTCGTCTACAATTTTATCTTAATTACAAATGACATTTTGTACATGTTGCAATGTTTACAATTCACTAGTTATTGTGGAAATATGTTGCTTTAACTACAATTATCATCAAAATATATTCACTACGAAAGACTGTAATTAAGGTCATATAGTCTCGGCAACATTAGAGTGTTTCTGTAAAGCTGAATCTATATTGCAGAGCGCAGTTTGATAGTTCCCAAAGTATATTACAGTGTCGGCGCTAGCCTCCTAAGACTGGCGGTGCCAATAGGGGCAGACTGACTCAATGGGAGGGGAGATGCTGAATTCAAGCTGCGACTCTGTGCAGGAGGCATAGTCGCAATTCTCTCATGGTGTGTCTGAAAGGGTTCTCCCAAGAAAATTGTCTCAACTATGAATTGATTCGGTGCATTCTTTCATATTTCTAATGTCAAAAACGTATAAAAATCATATTTTTAATTTGCTAAGAATAAAGTTAGGAATACAATTTGGGGGTTCAAACTAATTTTTTAAATGCCCTCTTTACCCCCACCGGCGCTGTCACTTGTATAATATAAAACAGGCTTTTTAATCAAACAAGAACATGATCATCAGGATCTCAAATTGTAAGTATCAAACAGACCCTCTTCATCAGGACATCTAACATATGGCTTGGTGTGGAAGTTGGGAACGAAGACGATACTGTCCCATGAAGGGTGTATGTTGGTGCACACATGGTAGAGAAATTAGATCTAATGGAAATATTTATACAGATATACAAACCATCTTTAACTTGTACCAGGTTTATTTTTACTTCATTCACTTTCCTCTATCATCTTTTTTATCATATACAAGCTTATATAGCAATTGTGACTAAATTTTGTTTCGCTATCTTCAACAATATTGTATTTTGTTCACATTGTGAAGACAATTCTGGTTTTTGTATTAATTTCAGTAGAAAGAGTTCTCCTTGATTTATGAACTTTACGAATAAACAATTTAGTAATGAGGGTGAAGAATTTCAGAAAAAAAGATTTCGCCTTTTACTGTTAATGAAAACTGACTTCACATTTGTGGGAAGGATAAAGGAAAAATATCCCTTTTTATGAAGCTGGGAGACACTCACCTAATAGAAGTGTATATTTATATATAGATGATGTAAATAATGGTTACATACTTGTATATAATACACAAAGAACAAATAAACATTTTCATTAGATAAATAATTAAACGTCGGGACATAAACTGTTTTGTTACATGTGGTTATCCAATTCTAGGGCAAGTGACTTTCACAAAAGGAGAGAAAAAACTTATACGACATAGATTTGCCCATGCGCTTAAGGTTGGATCAATCGAATGATGCTCGCATTGTTGTCTTTGGTTTGAATCCTCTTTTTGGCAGGGTGTCCTATGGATTGTGCACTTTAAATATACTCTGATCAGGTATAGATAATTACTTTCTTCTTGCAATTTAACTGAACAAACTGACCGACAGCAACTGTGTTCCAATATCCAGATTCAATAAAAAAAAATCCGTATAGCAAGACAATTCCGTTAAAATTTGTAAGATAATAGATCCTGTGAAACTGATGGCATCTAGCTGCAACTTTGCACCGCTGCTGCAATTGATTCTGGCAGATGCAGCAAGATGCAGCAAGATGCATTCAATCATCATCAAGTTTTTCGCCGATTCTGTCAGTTACAAGCTTCAGTTAATCTAGTGATTGGAGATTAATGACGAGCAATAATTTTATTAATACAGGCATTTTATTAAAATGACATATTTTAAACCATCGTAAATTACATATACAATGTTTTGATGGATTTCAGATAAAGTAAGTTTCATAATTCTCTGTATTTAGGAATACCATTTTCACTGATTGAAGCACCTAATGTTTCAAAATTACTTAAAAAAATCATTGAAATGTTAGTGCTTTAAAGCATCCTTTGACAATGGCTAACAAGTATAGAAGGTCACAATGCTTAATTATTAATTATTAAAAGAGTTGGCAAAGAATAAAACCTCTACCCAATTAACACCTAGGCTGCCAATAATAACATCCTAAATACTGAAATGTTTTCTATGTAAATGCAGGTGTGAGTTTAAGGGTTAATAATGAGAGCCATGGTAAAATAAGCTGAGTAAACACTAGTGTTTGTTTGAAACAACTTTGATGATTTGATGAGAATTCAAAATACAGGCCACGTATACTCAAAACGATCCTAGTGATAGGATGTCCTAAGTTCTTAACTTCTAACGTTGATTCTAGGACATCCTAGCCCTAAGATCGTTTCGAGAATACCAGGCCAGAAGCTTAAAAATATCGGTCCAACCGATTTGCTGAAATGAAATCAAGTTTTTAAGGGACAGATGCGCCAGTCTCAGAAACAGGAATTTTTTTTAGCTAAGTCAATCAGTAATAGTGTTCACAGCTTATCGTCCAAATTTGAACCTTCAAATCCTTGTGTCCAGAATTAACGGTGTTTGAATGTTAAAATAACGACTCGTCATTATAAGATACTCTGTTATATATAGAAAAGGTATATATAGAAATAGTGAGTAAAATTCTTTGTTTAAAGTATTTTTAAAGGAATAATGCGGTTTTAGTACATTTTCTAGTACTTCTGACTAAACGTATTTTCAAGACCAGAATCAACCCCCATAATGCCGCATCTGCCATTTTAAGTCCATATTTTCTGCTCCTGCACGACACGCGAAATGGAATTAAGGAAAGTTTGATTGTATTTCACTAGACAAAACCTGTTTGTTTTTGCAAATTCTAAATTCCATTCTATGTATCAGCTCCAGTGTGCGTTCATGAAGGATAGCGACATTATCCTATCACTATCTTTCTATTTCCAACATTCGAGGGGTTTTGAACATGCATAACCTATCGCATATATTTTCTCGGTCATATTGGAGTTTTTAGATGCCATACCAGCCATTCTGATCTGCATCATTAACAGACTGGATGGGATTGACAAGATATATATGGACCTATGCGGTTATTGATCATTGGATCTCAAGTTAAAGAACCATTCATAATTTGAGAATAGCAAATATAAGATATCCCATAAAACACAAAGAGTGTAATAAGGTAGCACTTACAGTTAGTTGGGGAGAGAACATTGCTGTTCTGGCTAATTTAACCTATCAACCTTGTTAAAGAAAAGATTAATTCTCTCAATGTTGGGAATGCTGGAATATACTTTGTTAACACCAATCCGAAAACAAAGAAAAATACAGGCCAAATTCGTGGGAATATTTCGGGCAACCCAGTCTCCCTTACCCCCAACAGGCATTTGGTCCTTGCTCACAACAATAATTTTCAATCATTTTATTCAACCAAAATTTCAACAAATTCATAAAATAAGAAAAACTAGAATAGTGATAATGACTTAATACATAAGGCGAATAATAAAACCACCAAAGAATAAACATTTTCGACAGAGTTTGTTTAACACAAACAGAATTATGTTGTTAGAAAAGCTCCTCTCAAACGGAAGTCGCAACAGTATTCCTCCTGTTAATGATTTTCCCTTAAACGTCATAGGAGAAAAACTGGAAATATACATGTACATTGAGGGTGTCGTCACTTCCGTCAATATTACTCTTCCATTAGGCACTAACAAAACGTCATATTGTATTTCTAATGACATGTTTTCTTTCTCTTGTTAAGACACCACTATAGTCTTTATATATATACATGTATTTATTAATGATCAGCAAAAGTGAGATTACCTTATTAAGCAAGACACTCTGAAACAACATTAGACCAGCCTGTCCCATCTTTTTTTTTTTTTAAACAATATTTATTCATGATTTACAATGGATAATTACATAATATGAGCAATGGTTTCAGAAACAAGCCGAAGCTTATACTAATCCGTTACCAATCAATTTAACATTCAAATATACAATTATAATTTATTTACATTTTTATGATATTGTTATGTCAATATAGTGCAGAAAAGTGAAGAAGAGAACAGTGATTTTGGCCTGGGTTCGAGGAAAGAAGACAGTGTTCAGATGCTATACATATCTGCTGCGTCCCATCTTTACAACATCAAGCTATTACGATATTCGTCTTATACCGTGACCCAAATTCTTTCCTGGGTTGTGGAAGTTTATAAATGTAGCGATTTTATTTGGATTTTAAACTTGATATAACCAATCATAGCCCTTGACTAACAGACTGCAAACATTACTTCTTATCGTTTAATTGAACACAATCGCTGCATGTACAAACTTCTATGATACAAGAAGAGTGTTTATGACAGTCAAGGTATAGGACGAATATATTTAGGGTATTAAATAGAAATAGAAATATTAAAACAGAACCTAAAAAAACACGTAGTTGTTGCTCAGAGTTTTAGACTATGTGATCCTAATGGTGCGGGCACAGGAACAATCTTTGTTTCCGATTTTAGTCGCCGATTTCACGACAAGATTATCGCGTTTCACGTAGGATTTATAATATAAAACCAGTTTGATATTGGTCGCCGATTGTATTATCGTCTGCAAGACAGAGCGGCATCAATCAATCAGATTTATTTTCATTTCAATTGTATGATCCGCATGTGATTATCGAAAGTGAAAAACGTCAGACTGGAGAATTTTTTGTCTTCTCGTGTGCCCGCGGCCGGTCGGCAAAATTCATGACAAGACGAAAATCGCCGACCAAGACTGATCGGGTGCCCATTAGACAACTGACCTATTTCAACCTACGTTTCTACTGAAAATTGGACAAGTAGAACTTATTCTCGTGTTTACTCTTCTAGACGAGTTCCGAATACAATATATGTATTAACGTATAAACTCATGAATGGTCACATATTTTTAGTAAAGAACCATCGTAAAACTTTCCCACCATGAAGCAAAGTTTCATTAAAACCATTCACCACCCGTTGCCGTATAACGAAAGGAAACATATTTCTTAATTTTTCACAATTCATTTGAGACGTGAATTGAACTGGGCGTTCGTATCTGTGATTATATTTCATCGACTTACATATTTCAGGTTTATAATTTTTCAAAACTGCAGAAGTATTTCTCGGCGCCGGAAGAAGCATGCTCATGAATGGTCTTCTTGTTAATGGAAATATATCATTTTTAAGATACATAAATTTTTTACTATATTGAGAGTCAAAGTCCCAAATATGAGATGAATTTTCATTATAAAAAGAAATATCTAAAAATGGCCAGGACCATCGAATCTTATGAACAGGTCGGGATTGGATAGAGTAAAATTTCCACCGTACATATTGTACAGTATTTAAAAAGAAAGATGGTCGCAATTTGTTCAATACAGATCTTAACTGTTGTCGATATTTCGAGGAGAGGATAATATCGATATCATCATCCCACGGAATAATATCGTGATGCCTATACGAGCCTACTAATGTCCCCGAATACATGAAAAATGGTATTCCATTTTCTTCCAATACGGCTTTAAACTTGAGTAAAATATCTTGAAGGAGTCGCTTTTCTTTTGATTTCATTGCGGTATTGAAAGCTGACAGTTTATGTTTGGATTTGTAAAACAGTTTATGGGTACGAATACTCGGACTGGAATGGGTCAGTGGTGGTTTTGAGCGGAGTACAACGTCCTGAGACACAGAGGTATTAATTTGGGATCCTGCCAATGTCATTTTAGGAATGTTTGAAGAAAGACGGTTCATATTGTTTGGTTCAATGGATAAATGTGATTCTTGGTCCACCTGTGGTTGAAACAGTTGAACATGAGACAACAATAGATACAATAACAAGTTGATAATGACGAGTATCCTGAAATACTTGAAATGTGCTATAGCTCGTATTCGCCTCAAAACATACATCATTTCTGAATCACTACCATTCGACTAGGGGTTAATATGGAAGCTACAAGTCAGAATCTGTAGACGGGATCTGATTCTGTGGGAGATGCTCCTTTATCTTTGGAGAAGCTCTTGGGATGGGTTCCTAGTATTTAGGAGAGGCTCCTATTCTGAAGATAAAATCCGATTCTTACACAGAAGTCTTATTCTTACGATGAAATCCTATCCATAGGTCCTGTTGTTACGATGAAATCCTATTCTTACGATGAAATCCTTTTCTAACCATGAAAGCTATTCACAGGTCCTGTTGTTACGATGAAGTCTTATTCTTACGATGAAATCCAATTCTAACGAGAAAGTTCGATCATTTAGTGTAATTCCAATTCCAAATATTTTATGCACTAAAATCACAAAGTAATAATTTCCACGGAAGCACACCTTATCTAGTATGGGTTAATATTATGATGCACTGTATCCAGTACCTCTTCAAACATCATGCAATAAAACACATATTTATTGCACCTGAAAAAAAAAGTTATTTTCTATATAAATAATCCAGTCCAGTTCCAAAGACTTAATAGTATTTGAGCTCAACTAAGATACACCGGTGTTTGTCTTTAAGTAGGCAGTACCTGCAGATAGTTCAACTGATGCCACAATGTTTATCAACTCATCCACAAAGTTAATATTGTTTATTTGGTACATGTGTGTTTGTCACAGAAAAAGCGACTAAACCTGTACTGTTTTCAAACTATCAGTTTATAGCGCATCTTGCAGTCTTATTAAAATTAGTTTAAACCTGCGTTCTATTTTCTATTAACTTTCATATATTAAGTGGTTATATTAAAAATGAAAGCTAATGAGTAAACGAAACGGAAGTGTGGTATAATTTCTTGTTTTAGAGAAAAAAATAGTTAAGAACATCATCAGGTTTGGTTTGAAAGTCTTTAGTTATTTGGGTTTGGCAACAAGTCTCAAGAAATGACGAGTCGTCATGTTTACATTCAAACATTAAAATTTAGACGGTGAGCTGTAAAGATTACTACTATTAATTAGCGTAGCTACAAAAGAAATCTCGTCTCTGACTTTGTCCATTTTTGTGACCTTGACAAGTGCTAATACAGGAATTGATAAACGCCAGCACTCTCTATATACAAGAGAACTGTACAGTTTCTTCATAGAACTTAGTGAGAATTGAAGATGAAATGTGTGTGACTCAGGCATGAAAACAAAAAATACGAGAGCACTTCATTTCAATTATGACACTTCCTACTTTGAATTCCATGATACTCTTAAACTTTTTTCCTTTTCTTAGAGAACTTAAGTGGTTACCAAGATTACGTTACACCCAATGTGAAGAGAAATATAGAAACTTAATGCAGCAGAAAACAGATGTATAGTGGTTGCAGATAGTATTTTGCTACAAGGATTTAAGTGCTTGACTCTCATAGTTAAATGAAACTGAATTTACACACATCAATGTTAGCATAGGCGTGGGAGATGTAGTTTTCAAAATTTTTGAGGTATGTATGCAGAAGAAGAGTATTTTGAGATTTTTACTATAAAATGAGATCAGTATAAAAATATTTGTGATTGAATTGGTGAATGAAAACACAAACTATGCAGAAATTAGTTGCGATTATAGATCAGGGATGTTTTTGTGGTAATATATTAGACGATAACCTGTTTCAATACTGATTATCACACGATAAGACTAATTGCTTTACTCAAATAATAACTCAGGTGTATAATACATTACTCTCTGTCACACTGGCGTCACACCAGCTTCACATTAGTTTTACACTGAAGGCTGCGAGGGTCCCATTGAGTAGGAATCTTGTCATAATAACACATAGATTCACAGTATACATTCACAAGTTTCGTCCCTTACCCAGGCCCGTAGCCAGACTGGATTGTTTGGAGTGGCAAGTAATATATCTGGAGGGGCAATGGTGTTTGGTGTTAAAATTCAGTGACTTATTGATTGGTCGGTTGTCAGATTTTTTCAGGGGGGCAAAAATAAAATATAAGAGACCTCTAATACCACATACCTTATACGTTAAATGCAAAAGACATTATACAAGAAACCTCTAATACAAAATACATATAACATCTAAAGCACAATTGATTTTACAACATGAAACACATCTGCCATAAGCATTAGACGACTCGTTTGCATAACTTGTAAACGTAATATCTTTATTTAGGTCAATGTCAAGGTCAAAGTATTTTTTTAATCGATACAATAATTTTTCTCAAATTAAGAGGGATAACTCTAGTGTATTGTGTACCGGAAGCTCGGTTCCTTACGAATAAAATCTTTCAATTGACACTTCGTCAATTTTTGTGGCCGATGGATACACTAATTTTTTGGGTTGATTGTAATTGTTGTAATTAAATCAAAAAACAAAAAATGTGGATGGATGGAATTGGCACAAACTCAATCACATAGTGCCCTCAGACCTGTGAATATCGCCAATATTCCAACATAATGTTATTTTGATGCCTAACTGTGTTACTGGCCAGTCAATGATGAAGCCTCTACATGGCCAATTTTTGAAAAATGGCCAATTTTTTTCCGATGGTCTGCTATGGAATTATGACTAAAATATTTGGTGCCAGTGAGATCCTAAGATGCCAATCTAACATATTTAAGTGTACAATGGTGAGAAATGCTCTTTATTGCGATAATTTCTGAAATATGGCCAGTGACGAATATCCAATATGGCGGACTGGCCAGTCAATAACTGTGTTTCCACTGACATAAAAAGCCGGCTCTAAGCCGGCTTTTTTGTGTTTCCACTGACAAATTGCCGAACCGTTAGCGTTCGGGAACCGTAACGGTTCGGCAATTGAAGCTTTTCTCGTTCGGCAATTTATCGGGGGCCAAATGAAAGCCGGCTTTCGTTTACTCAGTGGAAACACAAAAAGCCGGCTTTTTCTCGTTCGGCAATAGGGGGCGTACTTGTCTTTCCGGCAGCGCGCGATTTAACGATAGTCTTGTACATCGCGTGCTGTCAATAATGTGCGACTTTATGATCGAGACCAAAGTCGTTCGGGAACCAGAAAAACTCAGTGTAACCGCAACGTGTTCGGCAATAAAGCTAGCTCTAAGCTAGCTTTGAGCTAGCTTTCCTTCACAGTGGAAACGCAGTTAATGACGAAGCCTCTACATGGCCAATTTTTGCACAGTCCACAGTAATGGGGGTGGGGCAGATTTTTGAATGGAATTGGCACAAACTCAATCACATAGTGCCTTCAGACTCGTGAATCGCTAAAATTCCAACATCATGGTATTTTCATGCCTAACTGTGTTACTGGCCAGTTTAATGAGGAAGCCTTTACATGGCCAATTTTTGATAAATGGCCAATTTTTTCCGATTGTCTGCTAAGGAATTATGAATAAAATTTTTGGTGCCAGTGAAGTCCTGAAATATTCAAGTGTACAATGGGGAGAAATGCTGTTGATTCTTTAATTTCTATAATATGGCCAGTGACGGATATCCAATATTGAGCACTGGCCAGTCAAAGACGATGCCCCTACATTTTTGGATGGAATTGGCACAAACTCAATCACATGGTGCCTTCAAACCTGTGAATATCTCTAAAATTCCAATATAATGTTATTTTCAGTGTAACTGTGTTACTGGCCAGTCAATGATGAAGCCTCTACATGGCCAATTTTTGAAAAATGGCCAATTTTTTTCCGATGGTCTGCTATGGAATTATGACTAAAATATTTGGTGCCAGTGAGATCCTAAGATGCCAATCTAACATATTTAAGTGTACAATGGCGAGGAATGCTCTTTATTCCGATAATTTCTGAAATATGGCCAGTGACGAATATCCAATATGGCGGACTGGCCAGTCAATGACGAAGCCTCTACATGGCCAATTTTTGCACAGTCCACTGTAATGGGGGTGGGGCGGATTTTTGAATGGAATTGGCACAAACTCAATCACAAAACTCATATGGCCAGTGACGGATATCCAATATTGAGGACTGGCCAGTCAAAGACAATGCCCCTACATTTTTGGATGGAATTGGCACAAACTCAATCACATGGTGCCTTCAAACCTGTGAATATCTCTAAAAGTCCAATATAATGTTATTTTCATGTCTAACTGTGTTACTGACCACTCAATGACGAAGCCTATACATGACCAATTTTTGATAAATGGCCAATTTTTTCCGATGGTCTTCTAAGGAATTATGAATGAAATTTTTGGTGCCAGTGTTATCCCCCTTAATTTGGGAGAAATTATTGTATCGATTAAAAAATACATCCTTGACATTGACATTGTACTAATTAAAGATATTACAGTGAAGAAATGTAGGTAATGCAAACGAGATAATGTCGTCTAATGCTTATGGCAGATGTTTCATGTTGTAAAATCAATTGTGCTTTAGATGTTATATGTATTTTGTATTAGAGGTTTCTTGTATAATGTCCTTTGCATTTAACGTATAAGGTATGTGGTATTAGAGGTCTCTTATATTTTATTTTTTGCATAACACGTTTTAGGTATTTGTTATTGCATTATATTACATTTGTGTTTTGAATTAGACATTTCTGCATAACAATAGGTTTTTGCCGCTTTCCCCTGCCATAAAATTTACACCTTACAGTTAACTGGTACATGTAAAAGTAAAGCATGAATATTTTTCACTTAATAAATGCCATTCAAGTAATAATTTTGTTACTTTATCAAGAATATTCCATTTAGCAATGTTGAGAAATTTGTTAATTCACATACCATTCCTCGAGAGATGTAAACTAAGTGTATTCTTACTGTAAACTATAGTACTGACTGATAGATAGTATTTACTAATAATATCAGGTATTCAACACCAGTTCTTCTGTTGATATCCTAACAAACTTTCTTCAACTTTCAACATAGTAATCTTACACTACACAATCTCGATATCTCAAACATATATTCAAAATAAAAAAAAATAAAAAAAAAAATGCGGAACTACAAAACCCATCATGAGAGGTCAAAATAAAATATGAATAACTTTC